TGTCCTCCTGTGCACTCCCGTGTCCTCCCATGCACCCCTGTGTCCTCCCGTGCACTCCCTTGTCCTCCCGTATCCTCCCATGCACCCCCGTGCACACCAGAGCTCTTTGCATCCTCCTTAATCCAGCCTCCATTTTAAGGGACTGACTCATCCTTAACACCCAAGAGGAGCCCAGGTCCCAGCCCCAGGTCTGCCTCTCCTGGGCCCCATTCACACCCAGAATGCTTCTCTCTCTTGCAGGGAATACCAACAGCATCTTTGCCCTGGACTACATCAGTGGGGCGCTGACCCTGAATGGTCTGCTGGACCGGGAGAACCCCCTGTACAGCCACGGCTTCATCCTGACGGTGAAGGTGAGAACCTGGAAACCTCCCTCTGGGTAGAGGGGATGCCCACATTGCTTCTGCGCTCTCACCCTGTGCTGATTCCTGGGGCTCAGGCCAATGAGTGTCAGGTGTGGGCTATGTCAGGGGCCTTGCTGGGGACATAGTAGGTGCTCATCTCGTGGTCCATACTGTTATCCATAATTCCAAGTTCTCCGCTGGAGCCACCTCAGGTTCTTATGTTCACCCCAGTTCTGGGTTTTGTCCCATTTCTAATTCTCAGGGCTTCCCTGAGGCTATTGCCTTGTTAGGAAACAGCAATGCAGCAGGGAGGGGTGGCAGCCACAGCCCTGCCCTGCCCCGCCCCCCTCCAGCCCCTGCAGCCACCTGCCTCTCATGGCCAGTTTTAATTAAAATCAATGACTTGCTGAGCCATTCCCTGGGAAACCCATTTAGGGCATGGATCCTGCCTCAGTCGCAGGGGTCCTTCCCAGCCCCAGCCTTCGACTGGCAGGAGGAGGTGGCACAAAACCTGAGGAGAGAACTCTGAGAAGTAGGCCCTTCCGTTGGTATGGGGAGGACGTTGCAGCCCAGCCTGGCTCCTAACTGCTCTCCGTGACCTTGAGAGGGCCTGGGGCAGTGATGGGGTAAGGAGCTCCCTCCCACCACTGGCTCCTTCCTCTCCACCTGATGGGCATGTGTGGGCCAACACGGCCTTTCCACCACCAGCACCAAGCCCGTGGCCCCTTCTCAGCCTTCCTTCCTGTGAAGCGGCAGCTCCAATGGGAGAGCTGCTTCCTAGTCCCATGGCAGCCACCAACTCACTGCGGGACCCTGAGCTCGGTTGTCCATCTTTATAGAAAACTAGCGGCCCGGTGGGCGAAATCCATGCAAGAGTAGGCCTTCGCAGCCACAACGGCTGCCTCAATCCCATGCCTGCAGCCCTGCTTTGTCTGGGAGGTCATCTGGAAGGACATCTGGACGGCCATTTAGTCGATTTGCATGTTACGCTTTTATTATTATAGATTTTAGGGGGAGGTTCCAAACTGGCCTGTGAATCCAGACCCCTTCGGAGCTGGTGAAACACGCCTAGTCACGGGCCTCTTGCCCAGAGACGCTGGTTCGGAGGTTGGGGTGGGGATGGGAAGGTATTCTGGGGCAGGGGGCTTTTGTCTAGAGACTGGACACCAAGGTATCTGATTCTTTCTACTCCTGAGTCCAATCCAGACCCTCACAGTGCCTAGCACAGTGTTCAGTCCATAGCAGATGCTGAATTAAGCCTTGATTACATGACATGCTAGCATAAAAATTCTTGGCCTCAGTTTCATCATCTGCCAAATTGCATACTTTTCCTTTGCCCCGTGATGAGCCCCCAAATCTATCTTATCCTCTCCACTCCACCTCGTCCCCTTGGTTCTAGAATCCTACTGCTTGAGTTTGACACCTACTGTGGCTGTGTGTCCTTGTACAAGTTACTTAACCTCTCTGAGCCTTGGTTTCCTCATTGGTAAATAGGGATCATTACAATGGGAATGCTAATGATAGGCTCTCCTCCTGGGGCTGCAACCTGGGTATGTGCCCTGACTGGGAACCCTAAAAGGATGAGGTGGGATAATTCACACAGAGCACTGTGACCAGCATTGAGAAAGCCCTGGGAAATGATGGCTGTTATTGTGATCATGGCTGCCTTCATCCTGAAGTGTTTGTCCTCCATCTTCAGGGCACAGAGCTGAATGATGACCGCACCCCCTCCGACGCCACCGTCACCACGACCTTCAACATCCTGGTTATTGATATCAATGACAACGCCCCAGAGTTCAACAGCTCCGAGTACAGTGTGGCCATCACTGAGCTGGCGCAGGTCGGCTTTGCCCTCCCCCTCTTCATCCAGGTGGTGGACAGGGATGAGGTGAGTCCCTGGAACTATGGCCCATCTAGACCCACCACCCTGCCTGGGAGAGTCACCTGGTATCTCTGTGCTACAGCCCCGCCCCTGCCGTGTCTGAGGATAAATAAGGCTGCAAAAATCAGTGGTCTCTAACTTTTCGACTACTCCCTACCCCCTGCAAAAAACGTCTGAGGATACACCTCCAGCGTGTAGTTATTTATTTAGAAGCTATATGCATGATTATTCTACTAATATAATATGTGCACTATAAAACATACACCAAAAAATAGGCATTTTAAAGGGTAGAGGCTCTTGTATAACTGATGACGTTGGAAGAATGTCTTATTCCTGCTTTCAGGGTAATCAAGTCCCTCCTTTTCCATGCGAGGAGTGTAAGTGCTTTCAAGGAGATCCAGGCCATAGGAGACCCCGGAGGGGTCTGGGATGCCTGTATCCCCTTGCCCAAGGACCTGCTTGGCTGAGGCCAGTCTTAGAAAGAAGGGACTTGGGCCTCAGTGAGGAAGAGGTCGAGTGGGATGTGGGGGAGGAGGCTCTGGGGCTAGGCTGCAGCCCCATGAGCCCTGGCAGGCCCTGTGCTACGGGCCAGGCTCGGATGAGGCAGGCTTCTATGTGGATGGCCCCTCTCTCCTGCCCATCACAGCCACAGTTGTCAACAGGACTTCTATTTATTACCGCTGCTCCCCAGCTCACTCAGCTCAGGAATTCCATTAGGTTCCCAGCCCGAGGTCCTTCCTGCAATGACTCCTCATTCGGGGCTCCTGCACTGGCCTGTCCAGGCCCAGCCCTCTCCTCTCCTCCTGCCCCCTCCACTCTGACTGCTCTGCAACCGCCCAGCATGCCTGCCTGCCCCCCCACACATACCCCTCACCCAGGAGCCCTACCTCCCACATCCCTCTCCTCCCGCCAGCTTCTCTCAGCTGGACACGGTCCCCCGCAAGGACTCAGGGCCACAGGGGCAGACCAGTTCCTGAGTGTTTGTGTGTCTGTGTGTGGGTGTGTGTGTATGTGTGTGCGCGCGCGCGCCTCCATCTCCTGCTAAGTCATTTCAGACCCATCTGTCTGATCACTATTAAGCACCTATTAAGCACCTATTAAGCACCTATTGTTTACAAGAATCTATATTTGGCTCCTTGAGGGAGCTCAGGAAGTATAACTCCATGGTCCTTCCCAAGGACCCAAGTGTGTCTACACAAAGGTGGTATGAACCTTTGAAACGTATACAAGCTTTGGCCGGTGTGGCTCAGGTGGTTGGAGCATTGTCCCATGCACTGAAGGGTCGAGGGTTTGGTTCCCAATCGGGGCACATACCCAGGTTGCAGGTTCGATCCCAGGTCCAGACGCGTATAGAAAGCAACCGATCAATGTTTCTCTTTTGCATCAATGTTTCTTTCCCTCTCTCTCCCTCTCCCTTCCTCTTGCTCTAGAATCAATAAAAATGTGCCCTTGGGTGAGAATTTATAAATATAAATAAATAGAATAAAACATATACAAAATGTAGAAAGTTTAGAAAGTGGAGATAAGCGGGTATAACAACAGCCCAGGAGCGCAGAGGCACTGGCACCGGCGGTGGGTCCAGGGCCCAGCGATGCCCAGCGAGGGCTCTGGAGCTCGCTGAGGAAGGGGACGAAGGGCTGGGAGTCGGGAAAGGCTCTCTGACAAGAGGTGGACTAGGGCTGAGCCTTGGGGTGTAAATCAAATAGTGAACCGGAGCACGGGAGGGCTAGGGGGGAGGGGGGGAGTGAGAAGGAGTGGGGGCGGGGCGATGTGTTTGATCTTCATGTGTCATCAATGTTTACAGGCATCTGAGCTCCTTTCTTACAACATATGAAAAATTAATTCCATTGGTGCCAACATAGTCAGGAACAATGTGCACCATAAGCTCTGGATTTCAACAATATCCAAAAGAATTTTCTTCAATGATAAAAGGTTA